CTCATAATTTTCTTAACTGAATTATATGGAATCTTGTTTTCTATACAATTCAGAAGCTATTTAGGAAGCTGCAAGGACTAAGGAAGTGGCAATTAATGGCAGCTAAATAATGGACATGTCTCTCTTTTTCCTTCTATTGCCTCATCAGGCAAAAAAGCATTACATATACCTTGTTGTGTTGTCTCAGAGCACAAGACCCTTCAAATACTATTAAGACAGTGTCTAACTATTTTGGTGGTTCCTTTTTTGTCCTTAGTGTACATCTCAAAACTTCTGTACAATTCAGCATGATCTGATTCTCTCATCAAGAGAGGGGCAAATTGGATTAATAAGCTACTGACATAAGAACTGAATTACACAAGAAAGAAGATGCACACACAGAAAATACCCTAAAAGAACCTTACAGTATATAAAGAATACTTGGCTTGGTTCTCTTCTCATACAGATGTAACTCCAAAGATTTAAATGAAGCTACCTCCAAGTTGCTAGTGAGAGATCAACAATCTTTAAACAGTAAAATACAATACAACTCCTAAATATAATAACACGATGGTGGACAAGTTTCTTGAAAGAACAGGACTGTCTGAGGCACTACAATTAGCTATATATTAGAATTCCATAATAGTTAGGTTGAACTCTTTTACAATAGTTATTTTTTAGTTCAAATATTTTTGAGAGTGAGTTTTCAAAAGACAACTTTTAATTTTATCTTACATTTGTGTCTGCAAAACATTCTATTTGTAAACTGAAGGTTGATAACGCTCTCATCTTAGGCTGATCTTATTGCACTTGCCTTTCAAAACACTTAACACTCCAATATCCCAACCACTTACAAATAAAACAGAGTTTAGCATTTGGATGTAAGAAAAGAAAACACCTGAGAACAGTTTTACTACGAAATATGTTAGAATTTCATTTTCTCTCTAGGAATACTGCATGGTCTACAAGATGTAAGCCTTGCTTTACTCAATTTGTCCCCTCTTGTCCTAGGTTACCCTTCTGCAATTATGGACTGTTATTAAGAACTGCCGCTCTCTCTCAACCTGCTACTTATCTAGCTAATTAGATCTGGGCCTTGGATAAGCTCTTAATAATTTTCTACTGTGTGCTCTAGGAGGTTAGCACTCCCTGAACAAAAGCTGCTCCTGCCTCAGACCAGCAATTCGACATTTAGTTTCCTTTTGGGACTCTACTGCCTCTTTCCAAAAGTAAAAAGTATGCTTTATAAGAATGATTAGTTACAATTTTCCTACAAAGAACAATCGCAAACTACCCATATAGCATAATAACAAGAGATATATTTTTTAATAAGAAATGTTTAATTTTCTCTGGTTCTCTTCACTTATGCTATACTCATGAAGAATTTAAACATACAAAATTTTACGTTGGGAGTGTTCACATACTTGATATAACCAGCAGGGGAAAGGCAATCCTTGAGGTCCACCATGCACCCTCCCCGCCACATGCCCCCTTGCCACCTGCCCCCTATGCCTTTGCCTAGCAACTCACTTCCCATCTCTTCCTGCAGCCCGTCTCTGCCTGCTGGCCCCAGCTCCTTGCCTCTACACCTCTCATTCTATCCCGAGGCCTGCCTCCCCACTTCCTGCTCCCCATCTACCCAGTGCCTGTGCCTGTCAGCTGCTGCCTGTCCCCTGACCCCCTGCCCATCCACCTCCCTCCTTACCTTCTGCTGCAGCTCTGCTCCTCCTGGGCAGTCAACAGTAGCACTGTCCTGGCCCAGCCCCAGCTCAGTGAAGAAGTGGCAGCAGCTCCCAGACAGACCAGAAGTGGGGAGCAGGAGTGTGTGTGTGTGTGTGTGTGTGTGTGTGTGTGTGTGTGCGTGTGTGTGTGGGCAGGTGGTAAGCACAGGTATAGCAGGAAGGGGGTGGCGAGGGGGCCAGGCTGTATGTCCCCCCTCCCCCAGCGCTCTCCAAGTCATATGCCCCCTCCCAGATCAAATACGCCCATTTGGCCCTGGGGGCAAAGCCAGAGCTGAGCTCCTACCTGCCCCAGGTATGAGTCCAAGATAAGTGTCCATCCCCCCTCTTACCTAAGGACCTAAGGGAATAAACCTTGTCTCAAATTCAAGTAAATATGGTATAATTTGACTTAAGAAAGCCAATGTTTAAAAAATGTTCTTAACTTCTCCCTACCTGCTTTCATTCTCACTGTCAAATGTACAAAGGCATTATATTTCACTGAGGAATGGACTTCTACAGAATATAAAAGCAGAAAATAAAAAAATCCAAAAGGTACACTATTTTGAAAAATCTCATGATTTTTATGCCAGCACTGCATTTGGGGAGATGGGCAGCTAACTCAATTTTCAATGCTTATGGCAGCAATACTGCAATAGAACTGTTGTAGCTACTTTAAGTTTTGACAAATGTCCTTATTTTCCAAATGTCATTTGCCATCTCAAATGTTATTAGGAGCAAAACTTACCATTTGCAGCCACTGTACTTTTAATGAATAACATATTTTAAAGAGTCATTTCTATACACAGACTTGTACTTTTTTTTTTTCTTTTTTCTTTTGCAGGTCTGCTTGAATATATTAAATAAAATGCTTTGGTCAAGTTTTTTTTTACTCCCAACCTAAAAAAGTAGTTAAAGTGTACAACAATACCATGTCATGTCATGTATAACTACAAAATATAATGATGATTCTGATAAAGTTATTTAATAAACTGACTAGTTCACTGGTCACAACTACACTACCAGCATAAAACAAACCTGAATATAATTTGGACAAACAACTTTATATTCAAATCCTGCTGCCAGCAAGTAAGCTACTGCACAGTTTAGACACTTAAAATTTAAAAGCAAGCTCTGTTTTATGACCTCAATATAAGAAAGGCTTTTCATGTAGATGAGAGGCGCTGCACCCTACTTTACAAATGGGGCAAGCGAAATGGGTGGCATGACACTGTAAAACTTTACAATCAAGCTTCCAACATAATTCCAACATTAATTTTATAAGTAGGATTCCAGATTTTTCCCATTGGTTTCTATTAATTTGACTATGCCCGTCAAGGTATAACTTGTGAAGACTAACAACCTCTGACTATTTTCCTTATCCTATTATTTTCTTATAATACATAGAAAATGCAAGTTTGCTACACTGGGCCCACACTGGCTTAAGGTTATTACCTAATTATTGTCCTTAACCAAAGGAAGCCAAGAGACAGAGTAAACAAATAGAAAATCCCTTGCACACAGGCCTGAAGATAGCTAGCACAATGGACCAGCACTGTAAAACAAAAGTACCTAGAAGTTATTCTCAGTAGCCATTTGCACTGTGAGTTAAAGGCAAAGCAGAGGCAAATGATGAAGGGGTTCACAAGATGCAGGCAAGCAATGAGACAAGCTGGAAGGGCTTAATTTACTTTTAATTAGTAGCTTAAAATCTTCAAACATTATAGTGAGTAGTAACACTAGATTTTCTTACCATAAAAATAATATATTTGAAACATTTTCATTTGAAAACTTAATCACAGCCTTGGAAGGGCACATCTTGTTTTATTGTCATAATTTAAATAATTCCCTTTCACAGTGAAATGCAATGAGATTTTACTGACCGAAAAGGCATAAATGTGTTGCCTACTTCAGAGGAAAACAAACAGCTTGGGCATTTGATGGAGCATTTATATAGGCTGCCATTATATTTAGTGTTTGAACCTTGTGTTCAGTGGGGCTGTGCGAAACGGCACCATTCCATTTCGACGGAACAGCGTTTCGTTTCGAATCGAAACCGCTGTTCCATTTTGTTTCGTCAAAACAGTTTCGCTATTTTGATGCTGTTTCAACGTTGCACCAATAGGCTATAATGGGGAAGCTCAAAACAGCCTATATCTTCATCATTTCTGGTCTGATTTGCAGGAATGGTAGTCCCTTCTGAGGTCACAAAGCCTGCCAAGTTTCAAGGAGATAGGTGCAGGGGTTTTGGGGAAATTGCACCTCAAAGTCTTTAAAGCAAAACTCATGTCATGTGCATGTGTTAAGCCACAGCAGGGTCAAAACTGCAGGTATGCTAGCCCCTGCTGAGGCCACAAAGCCTGCCAAGTTTCAAGGAGATAGGTGCAGGGGTTTAGAGGAAACTGCACCTCAAACTGTGGACAAGCAGAACTTGTGACATGGGTGACACCGTGTGTGTTAAGGCACAGCAGGGTGAAAACTGCAGGTATGCTAGCCCCTGCTGAGGCCACGAAGCCTGCCAACTTTCAAAGATAGGGGCAGGGGCTTCTGGGTTCTGGGGCCCTGCACCTCTGGCTGCTGACAAGCAAAACTCGTGACATGGGTCCTTGTGCAACTGACTGCATCTGTCTTAGGGCAGAGAGGGGTGAAAAGTGCAAGCCTAATACGCCCTGCTGTGGCCACAAAGCCGGCCAGCTGTCAAGGAGATAGGTACAGGGGGAGTCTGGGTTCTGGGGCCCTGCACCTCCGGCTACTGACAGGCAAAACAATGCTGCTTTTTATGCAGGTTGTCCATCCCTCCCCCAGAGCACTGGAATTGGAAGGGACCTCAGGGAAGGATGACAGTTACTGGCCAGTTACTGGCCAGCTACACAGTCAATAATGAGAGCACTCCTCCCCCCACCCCTACTTCCCCCTCCCTCTCTCTTTACTTTAGTTTCTGTTTCCCTGCAGGCAAACCCAACTTGTGCTTCGAAACCCGAAATGTTTAAAAAATTTCAAAATGTTTCGACTTGCCTTGTTTCATCATTTTGAGGCTGTTTTGAAGCTCTCCGTTTCATTTTGATTTCCCTGTTTCAAGCTCGAAACAAAAAACTGCTGGTGAAATTTCGCACAGCCCTCATGTTCAGTACAGGTAATGAAGGTAGAAGAATTACGAAATATTTGTGGCATTCAAGATGTTTTCATATTATAAATTTATCCAATGAGTTTTCAGGGATGATATTAGACTCTGAAGAATTTAGTCAGATGAGGGACCCACAGAAAGAAAAAAAAATTAGAATGGCAAGAACAAACAGTACTTACAGTTTTATAACCCCATCTAGGGAGTGTTTTGAACAAAGCTGATGGCTGATCTTGTCTTGTTTATGTTGACTCTGTCCCAACTGAACAAACCTGTGAACAGCAGTGGACAGGAGGACTGAGTAAGAAAACTACTTATAATAACCTTAATGAGCCAATAAAAACAACGTGCAAAAAGTGAATCTTTTGCTGAGTAATGGATCAATCTCGATCTATTCTTAGGAGGAAAAAGCATATGTTTAAAGCTTTAGGTAGGAGGACTCCTTTGCATTATCTAGAACAGAGATGTTGAACTCAAAATCAGTTGGCAAGACATATTCCCTGCCAGCATGCAAGAGTTAACAGTGCAACCACTCACTTCTGCAACTGACTGCCACCAATTTTCATCATTATCAGTGGCCGAAAACAGCTAATTCAG